GGTAGCCAGTGCAGCGAGTTATGGTTCTTTTTTTTGGAACTATAACTTTTTTGGAATCATAACTTTTTGGTAGCCAGCACTGCCAGGCATGGTTCTTTTTGAATTGCTTTTTTTGAATCGGAATATATACTAGCTTTTGCTTTGGAATTACAATCTTGTTTGTAGCCAGCGCTGCCAGTTATGGTTCCTTGTTTTTAACTATAGCTTTTTTTGGAATGATAGCCGATGTTTTGCAATGGCAAGAAGCAAAAAACTTCAGCCTCCAAGTGAAAGGCCTTGCCTTTCAAACCTTTGTTGTTTGCGTGGTGTAGGGCAAGATGCTTGAGCGAAGCGTTTGTCACCCAACAAAGCCACGGAGCTGATGATAGACTGAAGGCAGAAGTCGCTAGTCACAGGAGAAAAAAGAGACAAGCTGGCTCACACAGACTCACAGATGGCCGTGCGCCATGCGCAGTTTGTTGAGCCCAGGGTTTGCTTGATTGGTATGTATGTTTGCATTTTCCTGCAAGTTCCTAGTATTTGTACAATGTTTCCTGAGTCCAAACTTCTGGATTCACCTTGCTGGTATCTTTCTGCGGGATTGTAGGTTTTGTTTTTTGGTGTCTTTTCACAAAACTTATAGATCTTTTTCAAACATAACTTTTGACTATATACCCTGACCTGTGAAGTTCTACAGTCGCGGATGGATGGAACTGGATGAATCTCTGAGCTTTTGAAACGACAAAGGGGGGACATATATAGGTCATATAAGGTCTTTTTGGCGTTGATGCTCTTGAGATTCGCCTGGCCTTTTTCGGGCTGGCTTTTAGAGAGTCGCAAAGAGAAGAGATGGGAGACAACGGCCTGGCCAAACCTTTGCCGATCCTGTTTTGCCAGTGATGCGTAGGTCTTCTGCCAAAGGCCGCAAGAAACCAACGACTTCAAGATTCTGTCTGTTCGAACTCTGTGATGCGATGGCCTCCAACCTAAAAGCAATGGCCTCCAACATACGAGCAACGGTATTCAACCTAAAAGCAATGGCCTCCAAAACCAATAGCAATGGCCTCCCCCTAATAACGATGTCCTCCAACTTACTAGCAATGGCCTCCAACCTAAAAGCGATGGCCTCCAACCTACTAGCAACGGTATCCAACCTAAAAGCGATGCCTCCAACCTACTAGCAATGGCCTCCCCCTAATAGCGATGGCCTCCAACCTACTAGCAATGGCCTCCAACCTAATAGCAATGGCCTCCAACCTAAAAGCGATGGCCTCCAACCTAATAGCGATGGCCTCCAACCTAATAGCAATGGCCTCCAACCTGAGAGCAATGGCCTCCCCCTAGTAGCAATGGCCTCCAACCTAAAAGCGATGTCCTCCAACTTACTATATAGCAATGGTATTCAACCTAAAAGCGATGGCCTCCAACCTACTAGTTACTAGCATTGGTATCCGACCTACTAGCGATGGCCTCCAACCTAATAGCAATGGCCTCACCCTAATAGCGATGGCCTCCAACCTACTAGCAACCGTATTCAACCTAAAAGCAGTGGCCTCCAACCCAATAGCAATGGCCTCCCCCTAATAGCGATGGCCTCCAACCTACTAGCAATGGCCTCCAACCTAAAAGCGATGGCCTCCAACCTAATAGCGATGGCCTCCAACCTAAGAGCAATGGCCTCCAACCTGAGAGCAATGGCCTCCCCCTAGTAGCGATGGCCTCCAACCTATTAGCGATGGCCTCCAACCTGAGCGAAATGGCCTCCCGCTAATAGCGATGGCCTCCAACCTACTAGCAATGGCCTCCCCATAATAGAGATGGCCTCCCCCTAGTGATCTCAAGTTTGCTTCTAATTATTGGTATCCCCTATTCTCTTCATCGTATATGGGAGTTTGTTCTCGCTCTTCGGACTGAAGACAGCTCTGGCTGTGTTTAACTGGCTGTTGCAAGCATACGCCCAAAGACACCCATGTTCTGTGCACTGTTTTTTGTTCTTCGCTTGTAACACCAGTATCCTCTGGACATCCGTTCTGTTCATCTTCATACCTTCTCGTTCACCATGTATGATGCCTTAAGCTGCCCACTTCCAATTCAATCGACCCAGCAAACACGAACGTGGAACATATAGCCTTACCAAGTAGTGACAAGAATGTGTATGTTAAACTCTGTTCTATTAACCTCTGTTTAGCAAGAACATGAATGAGCCCAAAGCAAACAGTGTTTTCCAAACAAAAGAAACACTCTTTCAAAATCAAAATCATCAAAAATCAATGATAATTATGCGTTTAAGCAATCAATAGTTCAATGAATTGAAACATAATCTCAGTCTTCATTGATCCCACCTCCTGCAAGTCCACCATAGGCGGCAACTCCACCGCCTCCGCATGCGCAGCGTGCGACAACAGCGAAGGCGATGAATAAAAAACACGTGGGCATGGAGAGGCACCGGCATTCTATGACCGGCCCGGCAAAAGGCTGACCAGCATGTCAGCTTAACTGTTAAACCGTTGTTAAAGTATTTCACATCCCAGCAATAGACCCTCAACAGTTTCAGCAGCAAGACGTGTTATTGTCATGGATAACAAATACCCTGTACATCGGCTGCCACCTCGGAACTGGTGTCTTCACGACACACAAAGCAAAGACGATAGAGAGCAAGGTCACGTCCTTGCAGGACACCAACGGCCAAAGACTCTTTAAACACTTTCTTGTCTGCACTGCCCCTTGTGCACAACTGGACACAAAAGGACACAAAGGACAACTGCAACTCGACCGGCACAAGTGCAAAAAGGAAGTCTTAAGCGCTAAAGAAAGAACGTGTGCATATATAAATTGATGAAATAAGCACTGCAAACGATCCCATGGAACCTGAAAATTCACCCGTAAAGGACACCTTTCCGACCTTTTCCGAAGACCAACCCGACGTGGTTTTGGGGTTCCATGTGGTCGGGAGAAAACAATTGCTCAATTTGTGGAAACATATGCTTTCTCGTTTCCTGCCGAGAGCTATTGTTCTTTCCTCCCTTCATGTCCAACAAAAGGTCAGACCGAGTCAAACCCCCCACAACCGATTCATCCCTCACCTCGAAAAAGGAGTGTCTCACGCGTCGAAGCCGACGCGCCTTTTTCAGCAACACGACGCGCGCCTTAAAGACCTCCATCTCGCAGGCCTCGGCCGCGGTGAGGCGCTGCTGAGGATCCACCTGCAGGCTTCGGTGGCTGGGAAGGCGGGGGGCGGGGGGGGGTAGGAATACCGATACCATGCCACGAGCGAAGCAGCTTTCAGGAATCAGCGACAACGGTGGAGTGAAACCTTTGCTCAAGTTGGCATGTCATGTGCAGGATACTGTGAAACAAGTAAGTATGGTGTCGGGGCAAGTTGCTTTCCACTGCACATCCTGCAGGACACTTGTTCCGCTTCCAAGTGTCACATGCCGTCCCAGCACAAGCATCTGAGGTCCTTGCTTCCAAGCACCTGGCATCGCGCTGCTTTGTGGCGCCGGATTCATAATTTGCTTGCGCAGTTTTGAAGCTCAACTCTCTTTTTGCACCAAAGTGGAGCACCAATCAAATGTCCGAGTCCAGTCTAACTAGGTTGCTTTAAGATATGCATACATGCCATGCTGGAGGCCATCGCTCTTAGGTTGGAGGCCATCGGTACTAGGGGGAGGCAATGAACATGAACTGGAGGCCATACATGCCATGCTGCAATGAACATGAACTTGGCTCATCCAGGCCTGTCCAAAAGCTCAGCCAATTGCTTCAGCTTCTTCTCCGCAGCCGTTGGCCCTATCGCCCACCCGTCGGGCTCAACCCGCTTGGTCTGGGGCTCTGGGAGAGCATCAAACTATACTGACCAGGTTGCTAGCTGGAGGCTGCTAGGCCTGCTAGGCCCCATGATTTTGGGAGACATGAATGATTGAGACATGCAGGTCACCAAATGTACGTCCGTTTCTCGTTTTCTGCGTCCAAACCGACGTTTCTTGTAGTCCACGGACCATCCAAACATATCCAAACCACCTGAATCGCCTTCCTGTCTGAGACGGTGCCACGCATTCGCACCAGGCGCAGGTGCGCACCGCACACGTCCCCTGTCCCCGTTCGCGCGAGGGACGCCTGCGCGCTTGGTCGCTCCCACCACCTGCAGTCCAAACATTGCGGTAATCAAAGACCAATATCAGATCACCACCGGCTCAATGATTCAGTGAGTTTCTTGTGTGTTGTTGCCACAGACCATAACACTCGTACGTATATAATCTCATATTGCGTTTCTGACTCCGAAAGTTGAAGGAAGAGAAACCGCCAACCGTTGAAACACATCGGATTCTGCCACCACCGGCTCGCTGCCACGCTGCGCCACGAACGAACTGAGCTGCCCGTGCCGTTGCACCGATGAGTCGACTCAGCTGGGCTTTGGCCTCCGCCACTTGTGGCAGAAGTCTCACTGAGTCTCACTGCAATTCTTTAGTTACTCTAAACCTACTAGCGATGGACTCCAACCTAAGAGCGATTGCCTCCAACCTACTAGCAATGGACTCTATTGTTTGTTAAGTTTCCCTAAACATCTAGACACCAAATCATTAGTGCGAGCCTCCTTCAAGGAAAGAATGTGTTCTTCCGAAGCACTCGGGGTACCGATGGGAAGTCGTTTCGTCTGTGTTCGCTTGGCCCAAGGCGCTTCTCGGAACCCCAAACGGGTAGTCAATGAAAGGAAGAACACGACACAAGGATCAAGACCCATCCCTCTCTGGATTGGGTCATGAGTGCTCTTTTGCAAGAACTACACTACATCGGTCTCTGGATTGATTCATGAAGAGTCTTTGAGTCATGACTTTGCATCAGCAACTACAATCTGATCGAATTCTTGGAACTTCTTCTGCCTGCTCCTCTGCTGCCTTCTTGCTCTCCTGGCGGTGAGCTTTTCCCAGCCAGGACTCTCATGTTGCGCCAAGAACATCCACCAATCCCGGATGGTGCTTCACGTGCCACGTGCTCATGAAACAAGCCTACAACGCAGCCATACAACCGAACTGCCAAGAGAAGAGTCACCTGTCTGTTTCAACCACTGCAAATGAGGCATATCAACGCCTTGCCATAATCTGCAAATGAGGCAAGCTCCGTAAAGAGGGACCTCAACCAGGGCGGTTGGTTGTTCGTCAATGAAGAATAGGCCTTTGCGCTTGATTACTTTCATAACTTCTCGGCTTGTTCTGCTTTTTTCCTTCTTCTCTTCATCAAATTCAGAACAATATCAGAGAGTATGCTATAATGATTGATATAACCCTGAAAAGCTCCAAGCTGTTAGAGTAAGAGTCGTGATGATGATCTGACATTTGTTTTTTGACTCGGTCAAGGATGGATCCGTGGGCGGATCCGTGGGCGGATCCGACCGGCGCGGTCCGCGGTGGGTCTCCGTGCCTCTTCTGATAGGATTCCAAGGAGACCACCTGCCGTGTCTCGGTGTGGAAGCCCTTGCTGTTCACATAGGCCGCCGCCAGGCCTGCAAACTGCGGTGCCCAAGGTAGCAGCTTGGGGGGGGGGAGTTTCTTTCGCGGTGCATCGTGGGAAGCGTGGAAGTGCCTTTTCCCAACTTTGAAGTTTCTCCCTGCAAGAACCACAAGGGCCAAGTTCAACTAGTCAGCAGTTAAGGACAAAAAGATGCCTCACATGCCAAGAGTCTGCCGAAGTCGCTATCGCCCAACAACGTTTTCGGAACATGCCCTGCAGCCCAGTGACGGCCCTGCAGCATCTCCTTCGTGACCTGAATTACATGAAATGCCATGAAATTGCTCTTGGATCTTTCACAAAGCAGTCTTGGAGGGAGCTTTCATTTGGGCGGGGACACGAGTGGAGAAACGGAACATTCCACAAGCAACTGGGAGCTCTTCTCATGGAGGCCATCGTCAGTAGGTTGGAGGCTATCGCCAATAGGTTTGCTTTTCTGCTCTCACAGCCCTCCAGATCCCTGACCAGGTCACGCCACGTCCTAAAATTAACTCGTCTTCTTTCTGCAAGTCTCCAGGCCAAGTCTTTCGGTCTGCCCAAACGCTCCGTTCAGCCATTTTGCAATCCTTGGCCCCTTGGAATATCCGTTCAACATCTAATTATGCCTGGATCTTCCAACTATGCTACGCAACATTTCCGCGTAACTTGGTAAATCTAAGGTATACAAAGTTGGGGGTCATGAAGAGGCATATATTTTTGCACCGCTGGAAGATCTAAGATCGGTTGGAGGTCATTACCAGTAACAAGAAGCTACTAGTAACAAGGACACCAGTAGGGGCTCCTGGCATCGCTACTAGTAACAAGAAGCTACTAGGGGCTCCTGGCCTTTCTACTAGGAGCAAGGACGCTACTAGGAACAAGTGCCACGCTACTAGTAACAAGTGCCTTACTAGTAGCAACAAGAAGCTACTAGGGGCTCCTGGCCTTACTAGTAGTAACAAGGACGCTAGTAGAAACAAGTGCATCGCTACTAGTAACAAGTGCCTTACTACTAGTAACAAGAAGCTACTAGGGGCTCCTGGCCTTACTACTAGGAGCAAGTCGCTTGGACGGGATGACCGGGTCCGATCCGCGTGGCGAGTCCTCGGGTCCGACGGGTCACATCGTCTGAGTGCCAGTGCGGGTCCCCGAAGTTGCATGATCTCTTCCAGCACCTGTTCAGGAGAAACAAGTATAAGTGTTACCTATATATATATATACTTATATAGTATATATATTATTGTATATACAATTATATGCTATTTTATTTAAATGTCGTTTGTTATTTTCCTCTTTTTCCGGTGCTGGAGCCGACTCTCATCATATGTCAGGGATACGAAAAACATGATAAAAACAAACTGTTAGGTTGGACACATTCTTGGAAGGGCTTCCAAATCTGGAGGGATGAGTGAGTGCAAAGCAACACCTTTGATATAACGCATTCATTGGTACGTATAGTAAAGAATCGTGAATTCTTGGATCCATTGTGTTCCTCGATTCCAACGCCACCAGAGACGCTTCAAAAACAGAGCAGCATCCTTAAAACATCTTCCATGTTCAAAACATGTGAGTTCCAGGAAGTCCCTCCATTTTATCTTCTTGACGCCAATCTGGTGACAGTGGCCAACACTTCCAGAGCCGCCTCCCGCGGGGTGTGGCAATTCCGCAGGTAGATCCGACCCACAATCAGCTCATAGATGGTCAAAGCTGCCTCAATTTCTGTGAACATTCAACACGTGGTGGTGAACTCTTCACCCAACAAACGACTTGGTAGAGGTGTCCGAAATCCAACGCACCCACCGGAGCAACGCTTTGAACACCGCGACCGGAGCAACGCTTTTCCCTCGGTCTCCGGCGGACCAAACGTCGATCTTCCGGCCCCGCGTGAATCCCAAGATCACCTGGCAAAAGACCGATGTGAAGGACCAATCACCAGTGTGTGCCATACAACCATGGTGCGGTGGCAAAGAAAAGGCACGATCACAAAGGCCTCAGGAGCGCGGTAGAAGAGCGGCTGTAGCTCGTCCTGAAGATATCTGAAGATGTTTCAACCCCAGCGTCAAAACACAAAGAGCACTGCACGGTTGTGAAACTTCCGTTGGACTTGTAGGTTGCCTCTCCTTGGCTAAACGTTGATGCAATGAGTCGGACATCGACACGGTTCACTTGCTCAGCACGCTGTGCGCAGTCCTGAGCTTGAAGCTCCGGAGACGGCCTGCGGGCTGAGTCTCCATACCTCTTTCTGGTGACTCTGAAGATCTCTAGGTTGGAGGCCATCGCTATTAGGATGGAGGCCATCGCTCTTAGGAAAGGTCTTTCGCTCTATACATCTAGACTGCAAAAAGAACAGAAGACAGGTCGTTCTCCCGAGACAGGTGGCTCCATGTGGCTCCCAATCTCAAAGTGAAGTCGAACGTTCAGAACTTTGCGAAGCTGTTCGACTCTGGTTGGGTTGTTTCTGATCCACACCCATGTTTTTATTGTTTGCGTGTTTGTAACCAAAAGCATTAAATCAATGCGGCCCAAGACAGGGAATCGGTGGTCTATCAGGTTCGACACGCCTGGAACTGGAGTGAAAACCACCGGTGTGTAGAGAAACATGGACATCCGAGGGGGCTACGTTCCACTTCCATGATTGTTTCAGAGTGTGTGTTTGTTTCACTGGACATTGAATGCCCAAAGAACATGAAAGCAACCACGCTGTGATGATGCAAGTTACTGTACCAAGAGACATCTAAGACGTGCCGTGTGTAGCATCATTATGCTGCAACGTTTGTGAAGCTTGTTCATGTCAACTTGGCAGAACAAACATGGCGGGCGTTGGATATCGGAATATAACTCTTGGCCTTCCCTTATGCCGACTTTCATAAACAAGTAACAAGGAGGCTACGAACGGAGCTCCTGGCCTTAGTACTAGTAACAAGAAACTACTAGTAACAAAGGGCATCGCCACTAGTAACAAGGACGCTCCTAGGAGATCCTGGCCTTACTACTAGTTTCATAAACACACTAGTGCCTCACCACTTCCAATGGTTCCTGTATGTTACTGTCCACAGGAACCCGATCGTCCCAGCGGCATGCCTTGCCGTCCCGAAGTCACATAATTTCACGGCCAGGCCATCCCAACCTCAGCTTCTGCACGGAATGCGGCGGATGGGGACGTCTTAGAGGCTCCTGATGTTCACTGGATGAGACAAGTGGAACAGGAGCTTGGATGCAAACACGGTGACTTCCTCAAGAGCTCCTGTTCTCAACTTTAGGTGCACCATGGTGGGGAAACACGGTGTGTTTTCACCCAACTTTGGAACATGCCCGGCGGTTACTTGAATTCGTCCAGTTTGGGACGCATTTTTGGGGCCAGGAGTCAATGTGATTGAGCGACTCTGCGTGTTTCCCAGTCCCTTTTGAGGTCAAAAAGTCAACATTTCACTGGAGCTACAACAAACATGGCGAACATGAGGGTTTTGAGGACCAGCTTTGGACCCTCAAAGAATAACAATAATTATACATATATTATCCATCCGGTTGTGTTTCGACCTCCCTTTCCTTTTCGCCCGGAGCTCCCGGGCGGAGGAGCAAATTGTCTGGCTTCACATCGCAGTGCACGATGCCCACCACGTCGTGGAGGTATCTGGTCGCAGCGAACAGGCGCGATGCCCTTTGTTGCTGATATCTTTTTGCTCCTAGTAGCGATGCACTTGTTACTAGTAGCGATGCACTTGTTACTAGTAGCGATGCACTTGTTCCTACTAGCTTCTTGTTACTACTAGTAAGGCACTTGTTACTAGTAGCGATGCACTTGTTTCTACTAGTTGATTGTTACTAGTAGTAAGGCCAGGAGCCCCTAGTAGCTTCCTTGCTCCTAGTAGCGATGCCCTTTGCTCCTAGCAGCGAACATTGCACTAATGAAGTCTCCATCACTCCCCAAATAAAGCAATCCGGTTGCACCACCCCGTCTTAAAAAATGAGTTCGAAATGGGTTCTTTCCATGAAGTTAACTATATGTTGACACATTCATGTTAACATCACCTTCTAAACTATGAGCTCTTTCGATGTCCTGGCACTCATCTGACTTTTGATTGCCTTTCTGGCACCAAAATCTCGCCTTAGAGCTCGCATGATTTGCTTCCCAAACTGCAACACCTTCTCTAGCCTTGGCGAGCTTTCTGCGGCTGAACATCGCAGGGAAAGGCCACTTAGACTCTAAGACTACTAGGGACAAATTGAAAAAGGTCTTATCAAAGAGGGCTCTTACTATATGATCTATAGATAGGTATCCTTATGAAGTATGTCATATGATCAAAACATGTCACCATGTCATATTATCCGTTCTTTCAGTCTATCATAGTCTCTCATGGTGAAACCGGTCGTACTTCACTGGACCCGGTCGGCGACCCTCTGGTCTCGGTCCTGGGCGGTTGCTTCCCGACTTTTCGTAGATTGGATTCCAACTTCTCGAAGCACATGCAGAGGTACTCCAATTCTCCCTGAGGACTGCTCACCTGGACGTGCGAGGGCCTCGTGCGAGGGCCAGCCGCCCCCGCTCGCTAAGCTCGCTCCGCAAATTGAGCAGCGCAGCGGCGCAGCCCCAAAGAAGGAAGCAAAGAAACTAGAAGAAACAAAACAGCAAAGAAGTCATCCGATTTTGTTGCTCCGAAACATGTTGGCGACTAAGCATGCGAAGGTTCAATGTCCGATCTTCGGAAAAGATCGGGAGATTGACCCATCCGCCTTGAGTCATTGCACAAACAATCGATTCCAAAAAGGTCCAAAATGTCGGCGGGATTCAGTGGGTTCCAAAAACACCCAAACCATTGCTGGGGTCCCTTCTCCACCAACATTGAGCGTCCTCCCATGTGCCTCCAGTGAGACTGGACTCATCTGGGACTGCGGTCTTTCTTTCGCGCCTTGTGAACGAAGCTGTCCCGCAACAAGGCCACATGGGCTGCGCTCTCGGGGTCCTGGGGACCGCTAGTGGCCCGCGTGGCGCGACCCGTGCCGAGCGAGCCGAGCAATGCTGGTGAGGAGTGATGGAACATGTTCCTTCAAAAGAGGGGTTCTGCTCGGTTGCCTAACAGGTGGGTACTACAGAGGCATGAGCATTTCTTGGAAGGACAAGGAACCGTTCCAGGATGTTCCAGGAAATCGGTTGAACACTTGCAAGGAAAGGCTTCAATCCTCACTGTCCGCTTCAACACAAATGCTCTGTTTGGACCATCATGTATAGACTGTTGACTTAATATGAGTTAATAACCCCCCATATTTATGAGGAGGTGATGCAATCCAAAACAAAGGGGGTGTGTATGCCGCAACCATCCACCTTCAGGGGAGCGGAGAAAGACAACATTTCGCTCCGCCTGATCTTTCAGCGCGGCCGCCCTCTGCAGGGCTTCGACCTACGGATCGATTCTGTGAGGTCGTCACCTATGGAGGACGGGACGTTTTTTGGGGGTGGAGGATATCATCTGAAAAGAAATACGAAACAACTCAGAAACCCGCCTGAAGAAACCTGCATCTCAAGATGTACTTGTTTTTTCGCATGGATTCTGGGGGTTCATGAAGTTTCTCAAACACTTAAATCTCTTTAAACAACTCTTTGACACGTTTGTGACTTTGGAAGGGCAAAAGGACATGGTTTGAATGTGAGTAGACTCCGGCCAGCCACTGGAGGTAATTGAATGGATGCAGGTCTTAGAGATGTGTCACATTGCACCCCAAAACCCATCGAAGCACCGCTAAGGCTCAGAGTTTCTCTGAATATTGTCGCATTTTGGAAATTTGGTCATTTCATTTGCATGGCAAAAGGCCCTTCAATCATGAGACACCACAGAGTGCTTCCGTTTCCTCCTATTGAACAAAAGGGTGGCTTCCATGGCGAAACCACGACGATGGATGCAACGTTGGGGCCCACATCCTCCCAATGCGGCCCATTTGGTCCATCCGGCCTCCCGATTGGCATACTTCCGGAAGTGGTCCTGCACATCACATTCACGAACGATTCATACACGAACGGCTTCCAAGACACTGAATAAAAGCTGGTTGACCCGGTGTTGTAATGGTGGTTGAAGCGTGCTGCCGATGTGACGCCTTCACCTGGCCTTCAGGAAAGCGCTCGGCCTTCTGCCGCCCCCCCATGCGATGCAACACAGCTGGCTGATCCTGGTGGCGGATCACTTTCATGGCAACCAACTTGTTGTCCTTGTCGGCGCATGGCCAAACCTTGTCGGCTCGATGAAGTGCGCGTCATTTTTGGCGGCTGCGTCTCTGTGGTCTTTCTCGTTTTTGCATCACACTGGTGCAACATTCCCCATGTCCACATCACTTGATGTTGGTTGATGGACAAAGGCTGCACCAGCACACACAAACAAGAACAGTGTGTTATGTGTTCACAGTTGCACCACCGCATCAGCACAGGATGGAGTCCATCAACAGTACGGGAGTCGGTGAAACCACCTCATCCAATTCCCCACAAACCACCTAGGAGGCTTTCCCAAAAGAAGCCAACCATGCCAAATGACGATCCACTTCCTTCCCGGATCCTACTTCAGGCCTTCCAGGGGTCGCATCACATGAGGAGAAGGCGAAACGAACGGAACTCTGAGTCACTCAGACATCTGCGCTTTACGGATCTGAGAGCTCAATGCGTGTACATGTTAATTTGTTTGGTGTGTGTTCTGTTTTTTTCCCTCAAAGACCCTTAGACTCTGAACATGAAAACATGCAATTGGAATCTCTATTTCTAGGTTGGAGGCCATTTGTTTGGTTTTCCTTCTGTAGTAGTAACAGGTGCATCGCTACTAGTAACAAGTGCCTTACTAGTAGTAACAAGTGCCTCACTAGTAGTAACAAGTTGCATCGCTACTAGGAACTGTCTCTGGCATCGGAACTCCCTCCCTTGGCAACACCTTCGCTAGCGGACGCGGGGCGGACGGCGGACGCGTCGGGTCTCTCCACCGAGTCACCACGGAGAAGACGCCGACACCCAAGGCCTCTTGAGACACCACGGTGTAGGGCCCCGCCTCCGGCGGATGCTGCTGGAAAAGCGTTTAAAAAAGAACGATGGAGTAGCGATGCACCTTGCTACTAGAAGCTTCTTGTTATTGCGAATGCCAGGCCAATGGAACCACCTAAGAAATGGTTTGGAGATGTTGGAAGAAGATGGCACCACAATCGTAAGACTCGTAAGACATGTTCGGAACATCATGTTCGTGTCGAAATCCTGCTGAATTCGAAATTTACTTTAACTCAGTGGTTGCACTTCTCATTCAATTCAATCAGCGTTTGGACTTCACATGCCGTGAAAATGCCCTTGACAAACAGAAAGTTCACAACACGGTCAAAACACTCGTGGGAAGACCTGTCTGAATCTTTTGGTCGTTCTTCTATTGGATTCTTTTGGGTCACGTCGCAAACATCTCGCTCTCCCCCCCCAAAAAAGGAAGACACACCGCCGACGGCCGACGCGCTCCGGTTGGACGTTGGTCCTTCTTGATCCTTCTTGAGGGTTTCCCGTGTTCGGCTTCCTCGCCTCGCTCCCTTGGATGTGATAGCCCAAGTGAGCTTTCAAAAAGCCCTCGTTCCGCCTCGGGCGGGAGCGGCGGGCGCCCCTTCCCTTCCGCATGGTGTGATTGCTTCATGGGGCACAACAAGGCCATAATGAAGCAAGTGCAAGAAGGCCAACGAAGAACATGTTCTGCTATTAGGTTGGAGGCCATCGCCTCAGGTTGGAAGCCATCGCTAGTAGGTTGGAGGCCATTGAAGGCAAGGCCATGAAGCCGTGAGTCAACGAAGAACAATTTTCTGGGTTCCTTGACTCCACTGCTTCATGGAGACGGTTGTGTGCCTGTACCGATGGCGCGGATGAAGGAGCCGCACATGGACTTCGTGCTTCGTTGGCTGGGTAGCTCTGCCTTTCATGGAGACGGTAGACTGGTATAGGTGAAGGCCCTTTGCATGGGATTGTAGATACCCAAATTCTCTTGCACATGATGGTAGGGCCCAACAACTACGTCCATTGATGCTTTCTTATTATAACGATTCAAATCAAAACATGCGATCATCCTTTGTTCAAACTATGCAAAACAATAAAACCATCCTTTCAACTCAAATAAGGGCACGCCAAAAAACAAAACAGGGCCTTGCTTCTCTCAAGAAAGTATGGCCCACAAGTGCCTCACTTGAAGGAAAACGATGGAAAACGTACCCAAATCCCTTGCTGCCCTCTGGGCTTCAGTGATGCATGGATGCTACGTCTGTCATGTTCTTGGTCTAAAAAGACATGAAGAAGCCTCAAGAAGCAAAGACAAAAAAGGTTCAGTGTTTACACTTACACTTCCTGAAATAATCATGGAAGTGGATGGCACGGACCTTTTGCATGACCATCTTCCTCTACAAACAGGTGGTTTTCATTGGTTTTCACTCCACCTGCAATGTAAGTTGTCCTCGGAGTGGAGGCCGCTATTAGGTCGGAGGCCAGTTTCCTTCCCGCCTCTCGGTCCTTCTGTTCCTGGGTCTTCTCCTTAGGCGGTGTCCGGGACCGCGCGGACGAAAGGGACCTTCGACTTCTGGGAATCCGACCGGTTCAGGCGGAGGTGGTGCAGGTGGTACTAACGGTCGCAATGGGGGTGGAACCACCACCGGTCCTCAAGGCACGGCGCAAAAAGCATGGGAAAAAAGGGCGGGTTCTATTGAGTTTTCTATTGATTGGTTGATGTCAAGGGTCACAAGGGCTTGGAGAAGGTATCGAAACGCATCCTATTCTGCATCAACAAAGGTCTGGTCTTTTCAACGTGAGCGAACCACCATCCCACCTGGTGTCCCTGCCCCAGACCTGGCGGTGAAGTGGCAAATAAGTTGGAAAACAGGACTCTCATGATGGAATCCCTAGTAGTAAGGCCAGGAGCCCCTAGTAGCGTCCTTGCTCCTAGTAGTAAGGCCGGGAGCCCCTAGTAGCTTCTTGTTCCTAGTAGCGATGCCAGGAGCCCCTAGTAGCATTCTTGCTCCTTATGAAGAACCCCCTGCGTCCCCTGGAGTCAATCATTGGATCACATGCATTTGCAGCCAAAGCGGCCGTCGAATTGGAGACCGGAGCTGAGAAGGCGGATGATTTGGAACACAACCAAAAGCCGCGAACAGAGCCGCTTCAAGCACCGAATGCTCTCTTAGGTTGGAGGCCATCGCTAGTCGCTAGTAGGTTGGAGGCACCGAATGCTCTTTTCTCTTCATTTCTCTTCGGTATACCCCCCGCAACTGCTACGTCGTGACGCTGCTCAGCAACAGTCCTTGGGTCTGCTGCAAGGCCACCCCTGGCCACGAAGAGAGGCGAACGGCGTCAAAAGCCATGGATCGAAGAGCACCAAACGCACAAAAAGGGTTTGGATTGCTCATGTATGGCCTAGGATTGACCATGGCATGCCTGGCATGCCATGGCGAGTCCTTTACAAATGGGATCTGTTCTAACACATTCTCCGATGAGTGGGGTTCCAACATGTTTCCTTCAGACCCGGGTACCTCAATAGCGATGGCCTCCAACCAAGCTCATAATTCTAGTAGCACAATAGTTTAATATACATAGACCTGCATGATACCTGCAGATCTGGATCGATCGCTGAGAACACCCAGTGGCCCGCGCAAACCCACCAGACGCGCTGTGGAGCGGACGCAGGAAAGGTCTCGGGACCACCACAGCGGGCCTGCAAGGTCTGCTTTCGCCCCGGATCCGCGAATCTGAACCCGTATTGATCCATTTCCCCGTCTAGAAGCTACTAGGGGCTCCTGACCTTACTACTAGGAGCAAGGACGCTACTAGGGGCTCCTGGCCTTACTACTAGGAGCAAGGACGCTACTAGGGGCTCCTGGCATCGCTACTAGTAACAAGAAGCTACTAGGGGCTCCTGTCTTGGTTTGATTCTGGACATGGCGAATGGCGAAGTCTCGACGATGGAATCTGCGGCGAATCCGTGTTTGGCTAGTGGTGTTCAGGGTTGCGGGACAAAGAATGCGTATACACTAAATGGATCTTCCAAAAACTTCTGCATGTTCATCTGCAAACCCAGCCAAAAGGCAGAAATGTTGCATAGTTGGAAGATCCAAATATATGAGTGACGTCCTTTTGTGGGAACACATCTTAAGTTAAGTATAATTTCTATTGAGGGCAGCTTTGTGCCTGTGTCAAGCACTCCTCTAGACTTTAGGTTTACGTGTTTGTCAAAAAAGCAAGCAGCCAGCTGTGAGAACTCTAGCTCAAGACAGACATTTGAATAGCCTCTTTATGCCTCTTTGTTCTCTTCAAAAGCCGTCATTTTGCCAACAATGAAAAACACACACACACACAAAAACAGAGTCACACAGAGACACACACACACACACACTCACATACGCACTATTTATTCACAGTTTATTCACAAAGACGCATGCAACACTCACAGTTATTCAATGATAACAGTTACTACTAGGAGCAAGGACGCTACTAGGGGCTCTGGACATGGGTTATTCAATAAGCTACTAGCAACAAGTGCATCGCTTCTAGTAAGAAGTGCCTTACTAGTAGTAACATGAAGTCAACCAAAAAAAAAAAAAACAAGAACGACAATCTGATCCACCGGAGCAGCCTGGGGAAGGCACCGCCACAGGGCCCACAGGGCCCATGGCCTCAAAGACTTGGGGGAGACTCAGCAAAACACAGACGTCCCTAGTAGGTTGGAGGCCATTGCTTTTAGGTTGGAGGCCATCGCTTTTACATTGGAGGCCGTCCCTAGTAGGTTGGAGGCCATTGCTTCTAGGTTGGAGGCCATCGCTTTTACATTGGAGGCCGTCCCTAGTAGGTTGGAGGCCATTGCTTTTAGGTTGGAGGCCATCGCTTTTAGATTGGAGGCCGTCCCTAGTAGGTTGGAGGTCATCGCTTTTAGGTTGGAGGCCATCGCTTTTACATTGGAGGCCGTCCCTAGTAGGTTGGAGGCCATTGCGTTTAGGTTGGAGGCCATCGGTTTTAGATTGGAGGCCACCCCTGGTAGGTTGGAGGCCATCGCTTTTAGGTTGGAGGACATCGCTTTTACATTGGAGGCCGTCCCTAGTAGTTTGGAGGCCATTGCTTTTAGGTTGGAGGCCATCGCTTTTAGGTTGGAGGCCATCCCTAGTAGGTTGGAGGCCATCCCCAGGAGGTTGGAAGCCATTGCTTTTAGGTTGGACGCCATTGCTTTTAGGTTTGAGGCCATCGCTTTTACATTGGAGGCCGTCCCTAGTAGGTTGGAGGCCATCGCTTTTGGGTTGGAGGCCATCGCTTTAGATTGGAGGCCATCCCTGCTATCATAGGTTGGAGGCCATCGCTTTTAGGTTGGAGGCCATCCCTAGGAGGTTGGAAGCCATTGCTTTTGGGTTGGAGGCCATCGCTTTTACATTGGAGGCCGTCCCTTGGTTGGAGGCCATCCCTAGTAGATTGGAGGCCATTGCTTTTAGGTTGGAGGCCTTGGTTTTTACATTGGAGGCCGTCCATAGTAGGTTGGAGGCCATCGCTTTTGGGTTGGAGGCCATTGCTTTTAGGTTGGGGGCCGTCGCTTTTACATTGGACGCCGTCCCTAGTAGATTTTGAGGCCATTGCTTTTAGGTTGGAGGCCATCCCTAGTAGGTTGGAGGCTATCCCTAGGAGGTTGGAAGCCATTGCTTTTAGGTTGGACGCTATTGCTTTTAGGTTGCAGGCCATCGCTTTTACATTGGAGGCCGTCCCTAGTAGGTTGGAGGCC